CTTTACCGATCTTCCGTCCTATGAAATAAAAAGAAGAAGAGAAAAAAAAGGAATATTCTGCAAGAGGATTTTGAATTAAGGACAATTTCGTCAATTTGAAAATAGTCTTCCTCCTCCTCCTTCTTCACTCGAGAGAATCAAGAATCAAAGTATATATATATATATATATTCTTGAATATTGATTGATAAATTTGATTATTGATGCCGTTCAAAGAAACTTGGATCGAAGATATTTCTTTACGAGAATCGAATTTTTCTTTTAAATATTTTTTAGATTATTTCTCGAGAATAGGCATGCATTAATCTATTTTTATCATTACCGATCTTCCTTCCTATGAAATAAAAAGAAGAAGAGGAAGAGAAAAAAGAGGAATATTCTGCAAGAGGATTTTGAATTAAGGACAATTTCGTCAATTTGAAAATAATCTTCCTCCTCCTCCTTCTTCACTCGAGAGAATCAAGAATCAAAGTATATATATATATATATATTCTTGAATATTGATTGATAAATTTGATTATTGATGCCGTTCAAAGAAACTTGGATCGAAGATATTTCTTTGCGAGAATCGAATTTTTCTTTTAAATATTTTTTAGATTATTTCTCGAGAATAGGCATGCATTAATCTATTTTCATCAGAGATATTATGGATATTAAATATTATTTAATCAATCCTTTCTTCGGGAAGTTTTGATCGTCATCCTCGATTCCTGGATACCATGAAAAGGTTTCTTCTTCGAACGAATCTTATCCAACAGCCGAAAGAGCGGCAAAAGAACGTATATGATACAATGATGAAGATTAACAGGGAGCCAGCCGCGTACGTCAATGATCGTTTTAATATCGTAACGAGGGATCGACGTGTCGTCACGATACGGTTTGCGATATACAACTAAAATAATACGCGTTGAAACATCGCCAACAGAGAGAGAAAATGAGAGGTTCTTCATTGTCTTTTTTAGCTGGCAAACGGTTCTTCATTGCCTCGGGGATCGTGATCCGTTTCGCCGTATCCGCAAGAGTAGGGAATCGACGGTACAAATTTATTCGGCCACCAGCTGTTTTCGCTTTTCTCGTTGCGAACAGTCGTACAGAGCAGTATTTCCGGGAAAAATGATCGATAATTTTGCTTTCCAGGTGAATTCGTGGCTCGAATTCAAAACGGAGAATTTTTATCACCGCATTAAATCGTGATTATCCCGGTTATCCTTCTTCGATCGCTTTTGAGCTATTTTTGGGGGGAATTTTTTCTTTTTTTTTTTTTTTGGAATCATCGAACTGTTTTTCTCACGATTAATTTTCACGATGGAAAACGAAAACTGACCGACTAAAGGAGACACGTATCGACGAGGATCCCGTGCCAAAGGAGTTTGGCAGAGGCAGTCGGATTGAGTGATTAAATAGTTGCGAACGAAATGTGCGTGTACGTGTGTGTATGCGTGTGTTAAACGAACAAAGAAGCTGCTCCCTATCCGTGCAAATTTTCTGACAAAAATTTTCCGCGGGAAGATTTCGTTTTATCTCTCTCTCTCTCTCTCTCTTACTTCTAATCGTCGAAAAACTTGCTTTTTCTCTTCTTTTTCCTCGTTGAATTGAGAAAAAGGAGGAACAAGCTGGACGATGGATACTTTAACATCTTGAAAGGAGGAGGATCTCTCCGCCGGAGACCGGAAGCACGGCTCGACGGCCACCGACGGGATTGATATTTATAGAAGAGGCACCCGCTTCGATCGAAGTTCCGATCGGAGTTTGCTCGTTGTTCGATGAAAAATCCTCGACGATGGCAAATTTTCACCAAGTTCCTACGAAATTCACCTGTGTTGTGCGTTCACAGCCGCGCGTGCCCCTTTCTCCACGTTGATCCCACTTTTAAAATTAAAAAAAAAAACTCAATCTTGGGGAGTGGAATAACTTGTTCTTTGCGGAAATATCGAAGATCCTTCCCAGTTTTGCGCCTTTCTCTCTCTCTCTCTCTCTCTCTCTCTCTCTCTCTCTCTCTCTCTCTCTCTCTCTCGACTGTTGGTTTCGTTCGCTTATAAATTCGCCGCGTATAAATCTTGGAGACAACGGATGGAAAGTAGATTTATGATAGAAAGGAATACAAATTTTATTATACATCGTATATATAAAAATTATTATTAATATTAATTATTAACGAATCGTCCGATGAAATTTCTTCGAAACGAAGAAGGGAAACATCGAATCGATGTTTGTCACTGATTAATCGAGAAGAGAAAGAAGATAGGGGGAAGCGGGGGTAGTCCTCGAAAAGAGATATCCTTATTCGAAAATGTTTAACACGCAGAGGGTGGCCGATGCGTCTGTCCAGGGAGAGTAGGTCGTTTCCATGGCGACAAGGGGTGCATCGGACTGGCACGTATCGCTAAACCGAACGTACTCCCCTGGCGGCCTCTAACCTCCCCCATATATCCCGCCTCCTGCGGAATATACATCCTACCGGCCGCCTCCTCGTGGCTGGGTCATCCCTCCCGCAGGAATTGGGTTACTTCCTGGAATTGGCTTCTCCGCGAGCGCGCGAAAATATTCCTCCCTTCCTCCCTTCGCCCCAATTGCCCCTCCTCGATCAAACGCAGTTCTCGCGCAGATCGTTCTTTCCTAAGATGATTGTCGATCGTGTAATTATTCTTATTATTATTGTTTTATTCGTCGATTAATTTTCACGGAACGATTAACCCTTTGCGCTTCACACAATGGTGGCTCTCACCAGGCATCCATTTGGATCGATGCGGCAATTCGAACGGCGACGATATTTATATTTATTGCGTTTGATCTCTCTTCAGATATCGAATCGAATATTCGCTAAGATATTTACGTGCAATCTTGTAAAGAGTGGAATATGGATATACTATTCGAATTATTTTCAAAGTTTGGCAAGCATGGAATGAACGGTGGAATGAAAGTAGAGTTCGAGCGAGGGTGAGTTCGATTTCTCGTTGTCGAATGATTATTTCTATTCTACATATTCTATATATTTAAGAAATTGACGGATAAGGGAAAGTAGCGATGAAAATAGAGATATGGTAAAAGAGAAGGTGAAAAATAAGAATAATGGACGAGTGTGAATGAGAGCATGTTATATTATATCGTAAGGTTTGCTGTGAACGAAATAAGAAAGGTGAAAGACATCGACGAAACATCGCGAGGATGCATCTTGGATCCTTATTTTATTAAAATATCGCACAAAACAACGATATAGACTTCAATATTCGACTATAATTTTCTTTCTTTATACGCAAACATACGTGAAATATTAAAATATAAAAGTTTTATATATTAATTTGCGTGTGAAATCATTTCAAGTTGGAAGAAGAAATTCATCGAACGGGTGCGGGAAATCGTTCGGCCGAGGGAAAAAGGGTTGCGCCGCCTGGAGCGCAAAGGGTTAATCCTTGACCCACTCTCGTCGCATATCTTTTTTATCCCTGTATCGAGCGAACGATCATCTCCTCCTAGGAGTTGTTCCATCATCGAAGATCGATTCGTCCAAACCTTAATCTATTTTTAGCATCGTGTATCGTTTTTTTTTTTTTTTTTTTTTTAAGGCGGAAAATAATATTTGCGCAACGTGATATCGAGAGATCGGTAAACGAAACGCGCCCCTTTTTTTTTTTTAATCCTATCACCCTCATCCCCCTCCGTCCCCATCCCTCCGTTGTCATCCGAGGGAACGATATCTCTGATGCGTCATCGGGAGGAATAGCCTGGTGGACGTATCGCGTGTCGGAAGTCGTCGAACAGGTCGAAAAGAATCCAACCTCGAACGTCGTATATTCGAACGAAAACTCTATCTTTTTTTTTCTTCCTCTTTCTTTCTTTCTTTCTATCTTTCTTCCTTCTTTTTTCTTTTTCTTTTTCTAATTCGAACCAGGGACATCGAAGACCTAGTTCTTCTTTCCTCAAACGAGGACACCCTGTATTATTCCAGGGGATACCAGAGGTGCACGACCTAGTTACGCTTGGGCGTGTTATACGGATCATAGTTACCGTTCGCGGCAATACACGTGTACGGACAGAAACCATTTTATATATATATATATATATATATATATATATATATATATATATATATATATACTACTTTAAGAAATTATACGATAGTTTCCACGGAAACGTGACTCTCCCGAACACGTAGAGATAGAAAAAGTTTTTAAAGCGGGTCCTATTTCACGAGTTCCGTCGTACGTGTGATCATTGGCAAGATAATATTGTACGTCGATTTTTCGATTGAATTTATTTCGATCTTTCGAGGATTTCGAACGAATAGTTTTTTTATCGAAGAATTCTCAACGCAACGACGAGATTTTTCAGCAGAGTTTTCGATTGTTGAGTGTTAAAGAGGCTAAAAAGAAAAAAAGAAAGGAAGATTAAAGGGGAAGAAGGAAAGCAGAGGTTGAATCGTATCGAGGAAATTGACCACTCTCTAGCTCTTATTCAGTTCAAGCTCGCGTGTGCATTGCCAGGCAATTTGTAACTTTCAACCGTGCTATATGATCGTGTGATTGGTGCACACGTCCGGGAATAGTTAATAGTAATTATATCGATTATTTCTATCGTTGTTTCTTTCTTTCATTGTTTAAAGTACGATATACATATACAATATACAATATACATATACAATACCTTAGACAAGGGTCTACTTCACCTTCAAAGGAAGGGTAAAGGGTTTATTTCTTTCTGATAATTCTGATTCTAATTTACTCTGTTAAAGAAGAAAGGAAAAGAAAGAAAAAAGAAAATGTCGAAAAATCTTCCGTCTTTCGGATATCCCCTCCCTCGCCTCGCCTCGTAATTTCTACCGTACCGATCACGCCACACTCTTATTTTAAAATTCTATCCTCCGATTTTGTTCAAGATACGGCCAGAATTTCTGAAAGTTTAAAAATTTCATGAAAAAGATTACAAATCATAACGATATCGTGCGATTAAAATCACAGCCGAGGAACAGTGACTCACTCGACACCCGGTACACTCGAAACACGCGCACGCGTGTACTTGCCCGACACACGTATTCTCTCTCTCTCCCCCTCTCTATCCTGCTCCCTTCAGAACCATTCCTCCTCCATTCGATCTCCATTCTCGTCCGTATTCCTTCCTCTCTTATCTTTGCCAGGCTTTTCAATTCTCCCCTGCTCGTACTCTCCGCTTTTTCGACATTTTCCATCCCTCTCTCGCGCCTTGGCTGCTTTTCTCTGCCTGGTATTCCTCCCCTCCTCTCTCTCTCTTTCGCTTCCTCCGTCCCTCCCTCTAACCAGAGTCTGTCTCGCGCGCTCTCGATACCGCTCTCCTCGTCGAGTTCGCGAATCGAGGGACCGCGCCACGTTTCTCTCTCAGTCTCTCGCGCAAAGCGGTTTCGTGGCGACGTATAGTTGCACGCGCGATAGATAGATTGTGGTTGGTCCAGGTCTCTCCTACGTTTTGCCTCTTTCTCTTCCTCCTCGTGTTGTGCGTGTTGTGTCTCTTTTTTCTCTCCATTCTTCTCTCTCTCTCTCTTTCTCTTCTACTCTCCTCCTTCTCGGTGGCGAGGAAGTTTTTTTCTCCTCTTCGCTTCTCGGGTTTCCCTTTCGAGTTTTTTATTACAAACACATACAAATACACATACATTTCCCCTTCTTCCGCCGGAAGATGATGGCGGTATCGGTGTGTCGTCTCGCGGGCGAGAGCATGGATCGTCACCGTGAAAAAAGGAACGCGGTGACGGTTGGTTCGGACTCGTGAAGAAGGAGATCGGAGGCCCCTCGACGGAGAAAGAAAGAGTGTACTGCTATTTTCGAGACGCCGTGGAGCCCGGCCAACGTGCGTGCGTGCGTGCGTGCCTGCGTTCGTTCGTTCGTTCGTTCGTTCGGTTCACGGTAGGAAAAAAAAAAAAGAAAGAAAACGAGAGGGAATCGCGGGTGGAAGCAATCTACGATGGATCCTGCGAATTGTTGGGCATCTCTTGCTCACGTACATCTTCGATCTCGAGATTTGTTTTATGCGTACGTTGCATAAAAGAAAAAGTAATTCTCGTGCACTCGTGAATTTAATTTAATTTAATTTAATTTGGAGGAAGAGGAGGAGGAGGAGGAGGAGGAGGAGAGAATAACAGAGAAGAATGAAGATGATGATCGAGTCGAATCGTTTGAGCGATCTATATCTGGCGAGCGATCGAATCCCTGATTGATCGATCCCTGGACCCGCATTAACCCGCATTAACCTTCCGTCGAATTGAATTTAAGAAAGATCGAATCGTGGGCTGGCGTTGCACGCCGTTGTGCTTAGAAGGAAAAAATCAAATCGCTCTCGCGTCTTGACGATAATTTCGTTACGTGTCCTTTTGCAAATGCGTTCCCCTCTGTGTTTTATCCGTGAAGCTCGAGAACTGACCTATCTGAAATGCACTTATCGAGTTCGAATGAGGAAAAACTCGTCGAATAATCGTCGTTCCCTCTCTCGAGCTGATTCTCATCTTTTTTTCTCTGTTAATTTCTAGAGCGTGACAAGTATAACTTCGAGGAAACTTCGGAAAATTAATCGTGAATATATATATACGTGAAAGGAAATAGATTTCAACGACGATGATCGAATAGTGAATTGTGCAGGATTTTTCGTGTAACGCAGTGAGAGTAAAGTTTGGTTTTGATCAAGAGAGAAGAGAGAGAGAGAGAGAGAGAAAGAGAAAAAGAGAGGAAAAAAAGGATGTCTCAAACGAAGAAATAACCGTTGTCTTCGAGTATTCACTTCGTCGCAATGATTCTTGCTCTTTGTCGATTAATCGTCATGGAGATTGGTCTCTGGAGGTTGGTTATGGTTTTACCACGCCGATTCCTTCCTTCGACATCGTTTTTTTCCCTTTTCACCGTATATATAGAGATAGACGATTATATATACAAATCGAAGCGCAGGAGGGAAATCGAGGGAAATATCTCTATTGAGATACTCGCAAATTTATAAATCTCTCGTAATCTTCGATAAACTGGATGCTTTTACCGCCATAATTAGATTACCTTCGTACCTATGGTGTTTGCGATCTTAAATCTAATCATGTATACGATAATTTTTTGCAAACAACTTGTGAAAAAAAGTTTTATTTCTCGATCTGTTCGAGAGAAGAAATTTTTTATTTCTCGCTTAACGTAATTTTTTTGTCACGCGTAACACCGCTTGCATGCACGAAATTGTAAAAGCTCTGATCAACAAACAAATATTCGATTAACTCAAATCTCGAAAGATCGAGAAGTATCCATAAGTATTAACGTTTTTTCTTTTTTTTTTTTATTTCCAACGATACATAATCAAATTTTTACGTTTTTTTTCCCCCCTCGTTCTTTCTNATCAAATTTTCACGTCTTTTTTCCCCCCCTCGTTCTTTCTTTCTTTCTTTTTTTTTTTTTATTTTTCCTACAAAGTCATGACTCGTTGTGTTGTATCTGCTTACAGAGTGTACGATGTTGGAAGGTGGACGTGCAGTGATTTGGCTCCTTGTATCAGCCCCACGAGCTGCACGCCACCCGAAAGATTCACGTACTAACCCAGTTGCACCTGTTTGAACCCACCAGTTGCAGAGTCTGCACCGTAACCCCATGACGCATTTAACACATGGCCCGCCTGGAGAGTAAGTGTTATTCACGCTCACGATCTTACGTCTCTCTCTCTCTCTCTCTCTCTCTCTCTCTCTCTCTCTCTCTCTCTCTCTCTCTCTCTCTCTCTATCTATCTATCTATCTATCTATCTATCTATCTATCTATCTATCTATCTATCTATCTATCTATCTATCTATTTCTATCTCTATCTCTATCTCTATCTTTTTCTTTTTGCTCCCTTTCGCTTCTCTTTCCAAATCTTGATTCGTTACGCAGACAAAATATTTCCAAGAGATTAATCCGTTCGTTTCCGTTACACCTTACGTACGTTGCCGATTCGGATCAAAGAAAATTGTATTGGGACGGAAATACGGATCGGAATGAAAATGCTTTTTTTTTTCTTTTCTTTTTCTTTTAAAAATCTGGGCATGCCAAGACACTTAAAGAGGCTTGAAAAGATACGAAAAGGATACGATAAGTGGGTTTTGTTTCCAGTACCAAGTATAGTGGTGCATAAAGGCAGCAGGTCGCACAGCCGACCTGACAGTCCCACGGTGGTGGTGCGAGGAGGTATGCCCACACTGCCGTCCTCCAGGCAAGGCTTCGTCGCGAGTGGCTCGAACGCGTCGTATCAGAACAGCACGGAGCCGGATATGTTGGACGGGAATGCCAATCCGAATGTCGGCTCCTCTCCCGCATCGAATTCGCACCATCGTGGCGGCACACCCTCCTGCCCCCCCGACAACAAATCGGACACAGAGAACAAAAACTTTCGCAACAGGGTACGTGTTGCGTATACGTGTGTGTCTGTGAAGATTCTGAGAGAGAGAGAGAGAGAGAGAGAGAGAACGAAAGAAAGAAAGAAAACGAAATTTTCCGGATGGTTGGTTCGCGATGGCGGTTTAAAGCACGAACGTGAAATATAATTTTTAGACGAGTACGAAAGTGAAGTTGCTGGTGAGGAGTCATGCTATGAGAGAGTCGACGTCTCCCCCGAGGGAGGCGCACAACAACGGTTCATCATCGTCCCCGCACAGCCCGCAATCGGTCGACGGCGAGAAGAAGTTCGTTGGAAACCTGTCTCCCAATTCCGCTAACGCGAAGCTCAATAACAACGAGCCGATGTTCAACAGCAATCTTTGCCCGAATCAGTCCCCGAAGCAAATGCGTAACACAGCCACCTCACCCACCTACCGAACTCCGTCACGAAATGGTAACAAAATGGCTTGCCCCGCACCCTCCCCCCTTCTCCCCCTGCGTCCCCCTTAATGTCGAGTCGCGAGATTTAACGGCGATTATCTTCTTCTTTCTCATCCCCATCGCAGACACAGAAACAGAACAGACACGAAGACAGACACGTTTCTCCTGATCGCAGGTCAATCTAGTCCCTCTCAAGTTCACTCGCCAAAGAATAATCAAACGTCGCCGACGAATGGTGGGGGGAAGTCGGCGGAGAGCCAGCGGAGTTCCAAGATGACGGGGACGCCACACGCGATCCAGAAATGCAATAACTGCGCGAAGAACAATCAAAACGATCGTCCAGGTTTACTTCAAACGCCCGTGTCCCCGACGAAGTCCGGCCAACCGCTCCAGCACTCGCCCAAGAGCACGAACCTGGCGCAGAACAGCAATCATCAGCACTGCAAGTCGGAGCAGCGTAGACCGAGCACGTTGAACGTTTGCAACAGCCAATGCTCGTCGACCCAGTGCGGCAATACCCTGTCCGTGAACAGCAGGCCTGGCTCGCGGCACAAGTTGAGACATCAGAATTCTTCCCAGGGTAGTTTCGACAGCGCCTCCCCTTGCCTCTCGCGAGGTTCGTCCTTACGTAATTAATTAACTTTCGGATGAAATTCCCTTTATCCCTGTATTCGTACGTATATACATATATATATATATATATATATATTCGTACCGAGCATCGATTCGTTCGTCGAATTTTTAAGGAGGAGAGAAAAAAAAAAGAAAAAAAACAACGAATCCTTTTTCTTCGCAGATAGTAGTACGGAATTGTACACGGACAGTACAGGGATAGATCTGGAACATTTCATCGCCGAGACCATAAATCGTAATCAGAAGGATCGAACGGTGCTGTTGAAAATCGAGAAAGATCTGATAGAGTTCGCGAGGGACAAGCAGAAAGTCTGTCACAAGTTTCCGAACATGTCCTCGTACAACAGGATGTTGGTGCATCGCGTGGCCGCTTACTTCGGTATGGAGCACAACGTGGACCAATCCGGTTCGAGCGTGATAGTGACGAGGACGAAAAACATGCGAATACCGAACACCCGTTTCAAGGAGCACATAAGGGACGATTTGATATTATCCGAGGAGCCGAGGAGAAGCATATTGAAGAGGGACTCGAACTCGTTCGAGGACAGTTTCAACTTCAAATCGCCGGATAGATTGTCGGGCGATTATTGCCGGCAGAACAAGAGTTTCGAGGAGAGGGAGGAGGAGTACGAGCGCGCAAGGCGAAGGATATTTAAGGATAGCAGCGGGGAGAGCGGCGAGGTTACATCCTGGCCTTACTGGTCCTCCTCGGAAAGCTCCGACGCCTCTGCGAGGTATCGTTTGTTACATCCGTCGGATCACACGATCATGAGGTGAATATCCTGTTGAATGAAAGTTTTCTATTATTGCGTTTTCTATTAACGCGTCGAGTAATAAGTAACAGCGAGATTATGTTACCTGTATACGTATGTATGTATATATATATATATATGTATATGATGTATATGTATATATATGTATAGGCAAACGAAGCTCTTGAAAGGAGAATCTTTAGATGGAAGGGAATCCTGTCGGGGTTCGGTACTGAGACCATCCGTTTCCAAGTCCTTTAGCTTCGGTGGTTATACCAGGGGAATGCTTTCTAGAGGGGACAGTGTTACATCTACTCATAGTGCAGGAGCTCGCCTTATGAAGCAAGGTTCGCTTCTTAAATTCTTTTCAAATATTCTCTTCTTTCTCTGTGTGCGTGTATGTCTATCGTGAGTGTGTGCGTTCATTTAAATTTTATAAAAATATCGAAATAGATCTATATAAATTAGAATATTGAATCTGTTGCAGACTCAGGTGCTAGTATGTGTTCACGGCTTAGCCCTTCGAGTAGCGGTTATAAATCGCAAAGCCAGCGCAGCGATGCCACGATATCACCGTCTCCATCGCCATCCCCCGTGGCAACGATGACCTGCAGTCATACCCAAGTATCTAGTCAGGATCTCGCCTCCCCGGAATCGAATAATCAGACGGTAATGTGGGCGGTTACCAGTATATCGAGCGTGCCGCCGGGTAGCATAATTATTAATCCGCAAACGAATCAACCGTACACGAATCCGGATGGTTCGATTTATCGCTTCGATCCAGAGAATCCACCTAAATTTTATACAGCTTCGTTGTCTCACGAGAACGAGAGAAACGATAACGTGTCGCCCGCGAAAATTATAGAAACATCCGAGCCATCCAAAATAACGGGTAAAAATGAGAATAGAAAGAGATCGCAATCCAACAAGCACAACGGTGGCAACAATGCAACGACAGTGACCCACGTGACGAACTCGGCAACGTCGCCGAGTTTGCCGTTCACCCCACCACCTCGAGATAATCCAGGACCATTGCGACAGCAACAGCAACAGCCGCAGCAGCAACAAACTCTAGTCAAATCGTCGTCGACGGTGCAAACTTGTAATCACAACCAAGCAGCTCAAACATACGCGACCTACGTACCTACCTCAGAACCGTTCAACCAGAGTGTCTATCCACCACCCCATGTGGGACAACAGACTGTGATGATGGCCCCCCATCCGAGTCAGAGTCAGGCGAATGTTCAAAACAATGGCCAGAGCGATGTGTTTAACCAGAATTCGGTTTACGCGAATTATGCAGCAGTACCTGTGCAGCAAGGACCAGTATCGCAGACAACGGAGATAACCGAATTGTCTGGATATTTTATGGGCATGAGCATCTACGATCAACGTGTAAGTGGTGATAATCATTCTACGCCACCGCACTCTTACCCGCAACCGCAACCATCTACTACGAATCAAACGAATCTGCAAAATGTGCAGACGATGCCGCAAAATTATTGGCAACCACCACCTAATTCCGTACTGGTATGAACTATTACGTTATTCTATATATATATATATATATATATATATTTTTATAATTTCACATCTTTTATCTTTTGTATTATTTTCTAGCCGCAACAAACAATGTACTTCGTACCTCCGCCTGGTGCGGCACTTTCGGTTAGCCAAGGTCCAGGCGATAGACAACAGTTGCACCAGCAACAAAGATTTCCAACAAATTATTCTTTCAATGCACAAACTATGACTCCTCCGAGCCAATCGAATTGTAGGTAGATTTTCTAAGATTTTTCTAAATTATTATTTCGCATAATCGCGTATTTCTGAATTATGTAATAAATATTATTTGTTTTAACATTTTTCTTCTATTTTGTAGCTAATTACGTGGGTACTTATCCAGTCCCTTACAACTCGATGCCGGCTGTGACACCAGCACCAGGGGATTACACGTATCAGCCACCGGTTCACATGGTCCCTACGTACTATCCACCGAGTCAAACGACGATTCAACCACCACCTGTCATGTACAGAGTACCGACACCACCAAATACTCCAACTTCTAATCAGGTAAAAATAGTCACTGTTTTAATTTCAAAATATTTATTACGACTAGATAAAAGTATGTATAAATATCCCATCCTGTAATCAATACATAGATGCCTGGGGTGCCATTGATGTATGTCAACTCCGGCAGCTATCCACCACCAACGATGGTATCCAATGGGACTTTTGGTCATCAGGTCGGACACAATGGCACATCTCCAGCGCCTCCTGGAACTTATATGACTCCTGCGCTGGTTCCCAATCTCGTGTTTAGGCAAAATGTTCCCGTAAGTTGTACTATTGTACCAGAAATGGAGAAAAATCTTATATTCAACTATTATTATTATTATTTTCTTTTTCAGGTCGTTGCTGGTGTTCGAGCTTCAACGCCAGGTAATTCTCAGAAAACGAGCAGGTCGCCGACTCCAGCACACGAGTTGTTCGGAAGTGGGAGCGGGGACAGAAGCGCACAACCCCAACCACGCTACCCACTGCCAATGTATCAGGGTGTCCATATTGTCCAAGGTATAATATATATACGTTTTAGAGGAGCATTTTTATCGATCTACGGATTTTTGGATTTTTCATATAATCTCTTTACAGGAGATATGAGATTGATGCATCCCGCAGTGCCAGCTAATCCGCGATTGCAGTATGCGCCAGTACCATCACCACCTGTTGTTCAAGGTTGTCCACGACCGTATCGACCACCTTCTTATTCGTCGAACACCTCAGGCGCTGGTACACCCACATCGTTCGATGGGAGAAATCAGAAAATTCGTAAACAGAGGTGATTTCGATAGCGAAAACATTTACTCGATATCGTTTCAAAGTGTTGCAAAATACGCGATTGCAATATTGAAATGGAAAAGAGAGATGGTAACGTTAATTTGTGTTTATATTAGGTCCAAAGTAACACCGTTGCCACTAACAGGCGCGCGGCCCAATCTTTATCAGACTCCTTCCATGCCGTCGCTCTCGTCTAACGTTCCGAAAGATATCAGAGAAGGTAAGAACCGATATTACCGATATTAATCGGTTAGATGTTCGCTCGGTACGTTGCTTGAAAGTTTTGTTACTTTCTATTTTTGTTCCGCTTATAAAGAACGAAATGTGACACAATTTTTGACACGTTCTTGTATCTCCTTAAAAGCGAAACCTGTGGAAGACAATATGATATAAGGTACAGAACTTCAGTAATAAAATATTACGAAAAAAAAAAAAAAAAAAAAAAAAAGAATACACACGGTTATCTACATATTGTTACATAGGTGCTTCTTCACATGCGTTGATTTCGCTTTGTCGATATTTGTTGTTCGTGTGAAAATGTGGCTGGAATATTATGCTTCCTATTTTGCTCAAAGCTTTTGCTTTGTTGATACAAGTAAATTGGTGAAAATTATTGCATTCTTTTTCGATGAAATAAAAAAAAAAAAATAAGAAGCATACATTTTTCAGAGCATATTCGACTGTAGCACTGTACGCTTACACACTCACGCGCACAGGTTTCTGTAAGAATATTTACTTTTTTCTTATCCATGACGCGAACATATTATGTTTGCTGCACAATGATCTAATTTTTTATCATTCTTTTTTTTAGAGAGATATTATCGAAACATACATCGAAACAGAAACGTCATGATGAATCTTTGATTCGAAAATGACAATTTTTTAATTTTTTTCCTTGTGTTTTTGTTTGTTTGTTTGTTTGTTTTTTTTCGGTACTAGATACAGCTACACAACACTTGCAATTCATCGTGCGATCTTTATATGTGGAAATACGCTTTAGTTATTATCGATATTTATGACGTACTGAGACACTCGTTTAACGCAATCCTGATTTGCACAACAATAATTCACTGGCATTGTATCGACGTGGATCGACGATGGGAACCAGCGCTACTCTCAGAAATTAATTTTTTAATTACAGGGACCGTGAAGGTGACAATCACCCGTCGAAACCAACTGGTACAATATTAAATACTACTGGGCCAATATTGAATGGAGGATCAGCAGAACGAAGGATGTAAAAGAAAAGACAATTGAATCTTTGAAACATGCCGATTGAAAAGAACCGAATGAAGCAGCTCGTGGTTATACCGCTATACATACACGATTCTTATTATTAAATATTAATAATACTTTTGATTAAATATCTAAGGAAAAAAAGAGAGATATAAAAAGCATACACTTAATAGGAAATTCAAATCTTGTTACAAATCGGGAAAGGAATAAATAAGAAAGAGAAGTGTAATTATAAAAAATGTAAAAACGAATTATATATCCCTTTTGATAAAACCTGGAGAGTGATGAAAATAACGGGAAAGCAGAAAAAAAAAAAAAAAGAAAAAAAGAAAAAGAAAAAACCATATTGAATTCATTCGTATTAACTTATAGTAATAAAATCTGATTATTATCAGAAACTTTCAAACAAAAAAAAAAAACAACAGAGAGGGGAAGACATCGGAGGAAAATGTATTGCGTGTACAAAAAGAAGGATAATATGTGCGTTGTTTTTTTTTTTTTTTTTTCTTTTTTTTTTCTTTTTTCTTTTTTGGCGTATAGGGGGCACGATAGACACAGTGGTACACACCAAACAGAGTTACTGAACAGAATTTTAACTATTACAATTATTATATATTATATATACAGTATATTATATTATATCTGGAGATATTTTAATCGCGGTTTTACAGATACTATATGAATGTGAGATTTACTTTTAAGGAAAGGTACTTTTAAAGTGAACACAGATATATACGCATGGATTTTCTGGACCGCTCTACAGATCAGTCTCTCGACCGACCAGGGAATCCTCATTTAAAATAACGATAAAACTAATATACGAGTATAATAATAAACACGTTACTGAGTACGTTTACAATAGTACCGCATGTCGCTGTCCAATTAGAATCTCTGGATCGGTTCTACGTTCTATCGGGAATGATCATTGCTCACTGATTCTTCTGTGTACTGCCACCAAAGAGTTGCGTTAATCTTAAAGAAATTAAAAAGTATATAAAAAAAAAAAAAATAAAAAATAAAAAAAAAATAACCAAAAAAAGAAAAACAAAAAGAAAAGAAGAAGGAAGAACGAGAGAGAAAGAGAGAGAGAGATAGAGAAAATTGCTGCCAGTTGTGATTCATGGACAGAATGAAATTATTTGCTACCTCAATTTTATATATCGAAAAGATTTTTCACATTTATCGGCCTTTTACGGATTTATGAATTAAGAAAGCTTTTAATTCTATTTCATTCAAAACCAATGAGGGTATATCGTCGATATATATATATATATATATATATATATATATATTTCGCAAAGTGATTTATTGTAAATAAGTAATTGCTTGACGAAAATATTTTCATAGGGGGAGAAAAAGATTGGAAGAATTTTTCCCCTCCTCTCTCCCCCTGGCATAATTCATTGTCTCCCTGATATTTTTGCATTCTTAAAAAGAAAAATCCTTAACGCTTCTGATCTCTGACGATTACTTTAGTAACAAGTTAACATTGTTGCTCGTGAAGAAGAAAAAAAAAAAAAAAAAAAAGAAAAGAAAATGTAAACGTATTCAGTACATGGGTCTATCTATATCTATAGTTCGACACAAGTAGTTAAGTAGCGCGAAACCATCACAGCTTAGTATCAGGAGAAAAAAAGAAAAAAAAGGAAAAAAGAAGAAAAAAACATGCGTCTCTTTAAAAAACGTTTTTTTTTTTTTTTTTTTTTTTTTTATATATATATATCTTCTTCCTTTTTTCTTCTTCTTTTCCGTTCTCTCATTGTCCGTAAATAGGGAATTGTTGTGAACTTTTTAGCCGATACGACAGGAAAACGCGCACGTTCACGACGATTTATTTCACGTAACATGATTTCCTTCTGGGAAAAAAAATGAAACGGGACGCTTTACATACACATATACACACATACACACGTACACATATACACAATAACTATGATTCGTCTTCCAAGCTTCACAGCACGCTTCTGGATCCTATCTAGATATCCGAGCTATGCAATTATTAGATATACTTTTCATGCCCAAATTCTGCGAAGAAGCAATATATGTATCAGTTTGGCAGCGGTGATGGTTGACGCGTGATCGTCGTAATTAATAATGTCTCCGTCTGTGAAAAAAAAAATTCATCTGTGGATCAACGTACATCGATCCTCGCCTCGTTATTTATTTTGTATCGATCGATCAAAAAAAAAATGGAAAAAAAAAAAAAGAAAAAAGAAAAAAAAAATGAGATAATTTAATTTATGCATACAATTTATCACCAATCGATGAATCCGTTCTTTAATAAATTTTTCGACGAGGTTGTGTACGTACGTTGTTCCGCGTGAGAAATAAATAAATACCAAGTGGAATCCATCCAGAAGCTTCGCTTACGGTGATTGTACTTCAGGAGGCGTAGGTGAAGGGTGTGCCTATCTTTTTATTGAGAATTTAATTGACGAAAAAAAAAAAAAAAAAAAAAAAANAAAAAAAAAACGCGCGCACCGCGACCTTTTATCTATACCCTGTACCAAGCGACGCGAAAGAGAGGCACTACTTTCTTGAATGGGAGAGCGTGATAAATTTAATTAAAAAAAAAAAAAACCTCTAGATTTTAAAGAAAGGAGAAAGGAAATAGGAAGGGAAAGGAAGGGAGGGAGAGTGGTGGACGAAACGAGAGAGACCTGAGCAGAAATAAATATTAAGCAGATTAGAATTATCCAATGTTTCAATTATAAAGAGATGGGCGCACAACAAAAGTAGTGGTTTAACTGTACCTAAAGTCGTCGTAGTGGTTAACGAAGATAATTGTACCTATAAAAGAAAAACAAAAAGGAAAAAAAAAGTAAAAAAAGAAAACAGTTCACGAATCTCTCTAAAAAAAAAAAAAAAAAAAATATATATATATGATTAAAAAGAAAAAAATCGGAAGGAGAAGAAAAAAAGTGAAATAAAATTATCGAGAGGTATCGAGAGAAACAAGCCTGCAAGTATCGTTCGTCACCATCTTATCACGTCACGTTTCGAGCGATCATTGTTTTCAAATGTAATTATTCAGTCGTATTTAATATTCCTTGTTTTCGTTTTAATCGATTATATCGATACGATTGACACGAGGAAATGACGATGGAAGGGGAAAGAATATTTATATTATTTAATCTGGGCGAAGAGCGTTATTTGCAGGATAGTCGCGCTTTACCGAGTCGTGCAACCGAGAAAGCTGAACCAAAGTCATGATTGTAATTGCACAGTCACGTTTATTTATTTTTCATTTCGCTCGCATGCGCTTTTTTTCAAGAATGCTCGATGCATTTGCTTGTTGTGCCCGGTTGCAATGCCTTCGGTAATTCGTTCCGCTCAATGAAACACGTTACGAAGAAACGTTTCACTGATAATTGCTTTATTTATATACGTGCGTTTATTATTTTCATTCGAAGAGATCTCGAAGAGAACGAGATTTGAGATTTTTCAAGGTGATCAGCATATGCATCGAGCATTGTTCACGAGTGATTTTTCGTAAATTCGCCTGGGCTATTATTAAAAATGAGCAAGAGGAATAGAGAGTGAAAGAGAGAGAGAGAGAGAGAGAGAGAGAGAGAGAGAGAGAGAGAGAGAGAGAGAAGGAAGAGAAGAAAAGAGTACGTGTATCGAAGAAATCATCTGCCTGGCAAATGATTAGCTCGAGGAAATATTAAAAACTACGTACGATCGAAGAGAACGGGTGATAAAGTCGTTGTAACTTCGCAAAACCTCACGTTCGTTTCCTACTATTTTTGTATGCAACATTAAGAAAAAAAAAAGGAGATTGATGGTAGTGAGAGAATTTAAAGAAAAAAAAAAGAAAAAAAAGAAAAAAAAATAAGAATTCGTGTGTGCGAGAGAGGGAGAGGACGAAGAATGAAGAGAATAAAAAAAAATTAAAGATGAGAGAAAGAGAGGGAGAGGGAGAGAAAAAGTACGTATGAAAGCTTTTTAATTTGAAGATCCTTGCATCTTCCTGATCACCTTCCGTTGATTGCGTCGCCACTCGTCAAAGACTCGTTAGCGTTTAAGTATAGCCGTGTGCCTGAAAAATTAACTCATTTTTGCGCGCGTTTAACCGATCCTCGATAATCATACACGGCACGCGGCTGAAACTTTTCGTCCACGTGGGGAGTGTATTTTGAACTTTTCAATTGTTATCCGTACGACTCGTCGTAGAAAATTCTTGTCCTGCGAGAAGCGGCAGGAATAATTTCAAAATGTATTAACGTGTTTCATTTATATATATCCTTTTTTTAATTTTCGCGGTTAAACGAGTCAGATTTTCAGTTCTAATCTTATCGAGAAAGAAGTTCTGGCAACTTCCTCCCGCCTCTTCTCGTAAGGCATTTGTAAGTAGCCCGTTAGATCGAAGATCGGTAATCTTTTTAAATTGATTCTGATAGCGTTCATTATGATTTCATTCATCGAACACTGTGCGGGACGCAGAAAAAACGGACGTCGATTCGTTAGTTACCGATCTCTTTAGATGTTAGCTGGCGTGAATTCGACGTCTAATTGTTAAGCGAAAAAAAAAAAAAAAAGAAAAAAAGAAAAAAGTTATCTCGCAAGATTGTTTTATCGTCGACAATTATAAATGAGTTTGAAACGCGATGTCCCGATATGGTGAATATATTTGAAATATAAATTGAACTTGACTGAATATACAATGGAAACGACGAGGATAAGAGTCGAGTAAAACTGCACATTGCGTATTTGCATTATTTTCAGATCACGTCTGAATGTTTCTTTTCCGTTCGACATATCACGTGGAACAAGAGCAAACGATGGCTGTGCCTTTATGCTTAATATATTATAGTTTAGAATTTTCTTTTGGACTGAGATTTATGTGCAGGATATCTCTTGTCCTCGTTTCGAATATAAATGCAAAAATGCATCGATCGAATATATATATATACTTTATATATTTATTAAGGAAGAGAGAAAGAGAGAAACGATTCAAATGTATTCACCGATAGATTTAGACTAGAACACTTTATCGAGATATAATGTTAACTCTTTGAGTCTCAGAGAGATTCAATTTTTCATTAGAGACATTTGGTCTTTGGTTTTTTTTTTACGTGAAAGATATTGTATAATTTATATTAAGTTTATATAAGGAGAAGATTTTTCCGTATTTTTATATAATTTAAGAAAGAGAAATATACGTATAAGAGAAAGATAGTAGGATATGCGTATACACTGATCCTCAAAGAGTTTGCATAGGGGAAAAAGATGATCGATGAAATGAGTGAGTGAGTATGCGTGGGAGGATAAAAAAAACCTACGACGAATCGGAGAATTCGTATGCATATGCATCGTGAAGGTGACCGAGAAGGTGAATTTAATTAGGAATCGTATGGTGGAAACAAAAGAGCTATACTACCAACCCAAAGATGCACAACATCATAGAGAGCCGGACAATTTGATAGAACTCATGTCACTCTAATTATATTTCTTGTTATATTATATACATATATATATATATACATATATATATATCATATTTTCCAAAAACGAATTATATATAATTCAATAAAAAAGAAGACACTCTCGTTTGATACTTTGCGAGATTTTGAAATTATTCCTGCCATCTAATATGTATTGGTGTTTACATAATTAATTATATATTCGATGATTTTATTTTTTGATCGATTAAATTTTATAACAGCATATATAATATCCTGGGTACCAATCATACATGCTACGTTCCTGAGTTAATCGCGTTTCTGGTGGCAGAGTCGCGAACTAAAATTTGAAAAGATTATATCGTATGAAGTGACAGAAACAAGTGCGGGAAGCTTGTCAAAAATACAGAAAAAAATTTAACATAGAAGATATTACTGTTCAAAAATAGTAGAATATTAATTTGAATTGTTGCGTGTTTATAATTTAAGAAATTGAAGTGAAGTTTATGCAATTCGATTTGTTGCATTTCGATATAAATAGATTTTTTTCGATCTTTTGATTGGTTTCATTCATCACTAAAAAGCATAAATCGTGGATTATTGGATCCGTTATTTATCTGAATTACATCATTTTTCCATAGTTTATGAATCAAAAAGGATCCTTTAAAGCAAAACGTGAAATCATTTCAATGTTTATCTTCGCGTCGATGTCATACGATTTTTCGTACAATACATGTGTTTCGGAAGTTCGTTCAATTTTTTATTTAACGATGATTATTCCTACGAATACGAAATACGAATTATTGTGCATAAGAAGATGACGACGATTGGAGATTTCAATTACGAAAAAAGTATGCTGAAAACTGTAAGTGCATTTCTTTCTTCATTTTCAATTATAAGATGGCGTTTGTTGACAACTATTTATCGGTTACGCCGATACGAAATATTTTTGAATTTAATTATTTATATATTTCTTTTTTTCCTCTTTTATACGGAGAGAATTATATTGTTTTTTATACTATTTGTTATCGTTAAACGAGATAATATCCTTTTTTATTGGCAAATGATTGGATAAATTGTATAATAATTAATATTTGATACTACGAAAATATATGTATAATATTTTGGGGATATATAATAGCCATGTCTATTTATGATTATAAGATTTATTACGTTTTCGTTATTTACACAAGTTCGTTGTAAGTTTTGGACAAGGGTCCAGAGAAACATTGCGGGATCTAGAGAAAAATCGCGTATCCTTACAAAAAGAAGTTTATACAGATATTTTTATCCCCAATGTCGCTATGAACCAATGCCACTAATACGACGAAACGACAACGCTCGTTTGTTATATATTCGTCGGGTGTTTTTGATCTATGATTTTATATTATTGATCATTCAAAATTATTGCACTTTACAAAAAATTATTAAATTTCTAACATATTGTGACGAAAAATTATTGATTATTTTGGATAAAAATTTATTTATCTTAGCGTTAGAAATTTAAATTCTTAAAATCAATAAACGTTTTGAATATAAATTACATCGTTACAAAATTAAAATTATTCTGTCGCATAATTTCACGATAAATTACAATTGTAATTGTGTCTCCAGTTCTACTGAAGTTTTGAACGATCGTCAGAAAAAAAAAACGATTCTCTATAAACCAAATCAACATTTTTCTCCGCATATATTTTCTTTTTCTCGATTTTTCTTTTTCTCGATAATAGCTCATAAATTACGAGTGTTACGTTTGCACGTCCATTCTTTCTTCTTTTTTTCCCCCCCTCTGTTCTCTTTAAATGTAATTTTTACGATCTGTATACCCACCACCACGTTGGACCCAGTTACGTCAGTTTTTTTTTCTTCACAAATTAAAACTAAACAAAGAAAAAAAACGCTCCACGCAAAACACGAAATATCGATACCCTCACGTTTTTTGATTACTTTTACCAAAAAAAAATTACTAGATCTGCTCGATTTTAAGATTAATTTTCTTATCGCAAAGGAATCGAAGGAACGATAAAAACAAGTACTTCCAATTTTGATTACTTCCGATTTTCAGTTAAAGGGTATCGATATCAGGGAGCAGCACCTCGATTCAGTGGAAACTAGTTTACGGTTTAAGCGTTATAATGGATTATACACTCATTTATCGCCACACTCGCTGCGAGTGTCCCATAGCCGACGGCACGAGACGCGTCCAGCTCGCAATAACTTTTTTCAAACACCTTTTCACAATCTTTGGTGTGAATCTGATCAATTGTTGCAACATTTCTTTTCGCCTCGTTCTCACGGCAACGGGACTCGGTCTCGCGTAACATCGAAGCACATAGTCGGACGTACTTATAATAACCGATATGCATATCTATACATAAGTTTGCCTCGATTGGTTCGAACGCATTGGAAACTTGTCTCTGATCGATTAATCAGGAGCTGGTCTCGCCTACCAGAGGTACGTTACGCATATGTAATGAAATTTTTCTTTAAACGGTAAAAAAAAAAAGAAAAGCAGAATAACAACAGATTTCTTTTAAAAAAACGATGTCACAATTTAATCGACCAAACTCCATGCGCTTCAGAGATTATTTCTTTGTCTATGAAATTTGTTTAAAGAAAAAAAAAAAGAGAAAGGAAAGGAAGACGGTGACTATATAAATAGTTGGAAAGGACATAGAAAATATGATACTTGTTCACGGAAGTTGGGAGAGAGAAAAGAAGGACGGTAAAAATCATTGGGCCGTTTGATTCGTTTAAAAAGTGTCTCTGTCGACTTCACTTCGAACGCTAGAGTGAGTCGTTCTGCGCTGGTGATTAAAATTAAATTAGTAGAAGAGCAACGAAGACAGAGAGAATATTTTCGCGTGATGTGCGCCTTCTGTTTAGTGCGGCTGCTATGTTAGCTAGGACAGCGTATACCGGACTAGTATACAATATTTATATAATATATAATATAATAATAATATAATATATATATATATATATATATATATATTAAAGTTAATCCTAAGGATTCGTGTCGCTTCGTTTCAATTTTTTTCGGGCTAGGCTTGGATTTCTCTAAAATTTATTTTAGGTCCCAACACGTGCTTCTAACAGAACACAACAAGTTCACGATAAATAGAGAGGTAAATTCGAAAGTTAAACAATCGTTGAACGAGTTGTATGAAAGAAAGGATGGCAAGATCTCTAGAATAAAAAGATAACAATGGATCGACGAATTGGAAATCACGTATTCAGACCTATCGTGTTCTCAGCTATCTTCTCGAAGAAGCGATAATTAGCAAAAGGCAGTTTGAGCAAAAATCTCTTGTAAATTCCACCTAAATTCTTCGTACATCTCGTTGTACACACCGAGGTCGTGTAACGTAGAGAACCGATTATATTATTGGTCAAATTTTCTTTAATAATAGACCATTCGTGTGTCCATTCGATCGCCTCGCTACAAAATAGCGCGGTTACAGTTTTTTTCGGATTATTCGATATCCTCTCCCCACGCTTTTTTGCTCGAGCAGCTTAACTGCTGTGACTGTACGCCGTGTTCGTGTAAGGTCCGCTGTAAATGGACGAGCCCGTCGTCGATACGGTCTTGTGCCGTCTCTTCGTCAACAGTACCAAAATGGCCGCAACCACCGCCAGCATGAGGATCAGACCCGCGATCGCGATGCCGATGGCGAAGCTCCTTTGCGATATGCAAAAGCTGTTCGGATCGTCGACGGTCTGAAACGAATTAGAAAATTCAGATTCGTGAGAGAATTTTAAAAAGAGGGAATATAAAAAATTAATGAATTTTCTTGGAACGTACTACCATTGAATCACAATTGCTTTTCCTCTCTAGGAAAGCAATAGGCTGTTGAAAGAATACAGGTCTTACCCTTTCTCTGAACACGTCGTCGGTGAAGTCCGACTTGGAAGCAACGTCTGACGCTTCGTTCACGTACAAACCGCTGTAAACCTCGATAGTAGCCGGCGTCCCTCCGTCCAAGCCCTCCACGCCTTTCACCGTATCGTCGTTGACAGTGTCCCTGCGTCGTCTGGATATCGAATTACACGCCGGTGGCTACAACACAACGAAGGATCCCTTTTTGGAATCTTTCCAAACAACGAACGCCTAAGAGTCTAATATGAGGTGGTTTTTGTTTACATAGTATCGGATTACAAGATAACGAGGTAAACACGTGAAACTTGGAGAACTTTCGAGAATTCATATTTTTACCGTGTTGCTACATCCTCCATCGTGTTTCACGCATAATCTGACGTTGCATTGATAGTAAACGCTCGCTGTATAAGGGAACTTGTGCGCCTGGAAATCGACCTTTGCCTCAGTTTTATCCTCGTTGTACGTGAATTCTCCCATGATTTCACCGTCGACCGGGCATCTGCAACCAATAATCCCCCCCTTTTAAAACTCAACTCATTCTTTCTTTTTTCTCGAAAGATCGGAGGATCCGAAATTTGCGCGCATTGTAGACCGAGTCGAAGGAGGGGAAACACAATCGTGCGTATCCGGTGCGTATTTGCTCGTGACGATGGAGAGGCGAAAGGGAGGGGTTTTTTCTCCTTTTCGTCGCTCCTCGATTCTCCTTCCCCTCCGTTTGAATAATTCATCCAATGTCCCGATCTACGCGCGCATTCGCAATTTATTCACGCCGCGCCGCGAATAAGAGAAGAATCGAGCTCTTCCCCTCTCTTATTTTATTATTTATTTCCTCGAAGAGGATCGATATCGATTTTCAATCAACGATCGGGAAAAATAATATTAAGAGGGGAGGAAGATTACCCTTGGTCGTTTATGAGCCTCTGCTCACCCCATCCCAACCCGTCGCGCACCAGGCAGTCGGATATCTTGAGGCCGAACATTTCCTGTTTGTCGATGTTAATGACCAAGGTCAAAGGATCCCCGATCTTCACGTTTTCCGCCACTTGATGCCTCGTCGGATCCCCGCTGAAGATCTTCATCGTGCATCCCGGCATGGGAGCCGTTGCCTGTCACACACGTAAACACACGTAAAACGCAATTTATTATTTATTCATCCACGAACGACGTTCTCTCCTCGCGAGCGATCGTTCGCCCCCTTCCGTCCAATCGCTTCGTTTCCATTTTTTGCCGGTGGACAAGAAAAAGCGCAACGATGGCGACGACGGCGCTTGCCAGCCGTGTATAACCGCTAAATTGGAAAATAGACTCGTACAGGCTCGAATGGTATAATCAGCGTTTGATTCTGAGGGGAGAGGGGAAGGGTTGGTATCAAGCGATTTATAGCCGGCAAATTGAACGGATGTGTGTCTTGTTGAATAAGGAGGAGGTTTTAGAGAGGAGGGAACGGAGGTTGGTTTTACCTACCTGGAGCGGTAGGGATTGCAGCATGGCCACGTGGGTTTGATCGTTCGTTACCACTTTGTCCCTCGTTTGATATCGGCATCTCACGTGGAAACCCCTGCCCTGATTCGTGACCAGCTTCAGGTGCGGCTGGACAACTATCGTGTTGAAGTACTCGATACCTCCGTCGTCCTGCGAACGAAATTTCAAATTTCAATTATTACTTTACACGTTCGTGGCGAAACAAAAAAGCGTTCTTTCGTTTTTAAGAAGAGTCGCGACGAGAGCTAGTGCAATTAATATCAATTTCGAGCGATATTAGAGGCATCATTCGCGTCAGAAAATCGGAAGCTTGAAATAGTTTTTGCGCGCCACTGGGAGAAAACGGGCAAAAAACGGTGAGAAAGATTCAAAGTCAGAAATTTTAATTTAAAGACGAGAAAGTTCGATGGAATCGCTCGACGAAAATCCGACCCAGAAGAATTGGCGGAAAGATCGGAAATCGAACAATCAAGCGATATCTATCCTAAATGAAACGATTGAAAATTTTTTATCTGATTTACATAATAAAATTTGGAAAGAAAAAGAAGAAAGAACTTATTTGCACACTTTAATATATTCGGATAAAATCGAGAATCATCGATGTAACGAGTCCAAGATATCAACGAATCGTCCATTTCTTTTTTTTGTTATATATATTTTCCCTCGAGCTATCTCCGTTTTCGAGGAACGGAGACAAGGCAAGGTAAATCGAGAGGCGTGCCATAATAGGCGATTCTTATCCGCGTCCCCCTTTCCGCACCGCCTATATTGTTCGTCGAAGGAAGCGAGTTAAACGAAGCCGGGTCCTCGCGCCGTTGCAATTCTCGTTTACGAGCGTTTCGGTGACGCCGATCACGTTTCCCCTCGCGAGCAATCCGTCTGTCCTTGCGCACCCCGCTAGCAAAAACCGGACCATTCGCTTCCCTTCTAGTTCGTTCCTGTCCCGAGCCGAGAAAGGAGCGCCACTCTTCGTCGTTTCTTCTCCCCTCCTCCTCCCCACCAGCAGGCCCACTTTGTTCCAACGCCAACTCGTTTCCCTTTCGTCCAGAGTTGGACATCGGTTAAAAAAATTTCGAGTGGAAAAAATTACTCGTCGAAATAAAAATTAATTTATATTATTACGGTCGACCTCAGTTTTTCTCAATTATTCGCGATTGCTACGAGGTTTCTAACGATCAATTAATCGAAGTAACTTTATTCTAATGAAACTTCAAACTTGTCAAATTTTAACTCCGTCACGCGTTGCGAGTCGAGCTCGAGGAAATCGGATGGTTCGTTTAATCGATCTCGAGGAATTCGTTATGAAAAGTTATATTCGTCGTGGAAAGGAATAGTTTCGTAGGCTTTTTTTCTTCTTCTTCGTAATTCGCTACTTGGTATTAACCATTTAATTTTCCACGTCGATTAACTCTCCTTTTGGCGCATTCATGCGTGCTATCGAATCATTATCATTAATGCGAACGATAATCGCCGCTAATGAGTGTAATTCGCAATCGAAACGCTTCCTGCTAACGGACGGACAATAAGTGTAATCGAACGACCGCGATGCCCGTTCTTAGGGAACAGGGACAATTATCCGTAAGCGATTCCCCGGCCACGCGTTTTGCTCGTATTCCAACGATTTTCCATACGATTTTCGTTTCGACATATATATATATATATATATATATTGAAGTCGATCGATTTCACGATCGATTATCGTTAATTATCTCGATCGAAAGAATAAGATAGTTTGACGTGTATAAATAGATATATATCCGTGAGGGGTATCGGTGGTGGAGGAGGCGACATTGTAAGGCAAGAAGCGCGACCTTGGCAAGATCTTCTTCCGAGAAACGTGGAGCCGTGTTCGCCGTTCTCCACGCGATATCATTATCGTCATTAACGTGTTAACGCAACGCGGATTAATTGTCCTCGTCTCTCGTTTCATATCTCCTTCCCTTCGTTGAATTGTTAAATCGCTAACGAAGCGCGATATATAAAAAAATATATTCTCTCGAATTAATCGAGATAGAAGATAGATCTTATCTCCATTCTTCTATGAACAATCTCTCGATTCTTCGAGTAACGAATAATCCACACGGTATCATATTCGAAACGATCAGATTGAAGAAGAAGAAGAAAAAGAAGGAGAAGAATCTTTAATTTTCGAATCGATCGAAGAAGGAATAATTTTACGCGGATGATGATAGGAGGAGTTTGGAAGGGGCGCGACCACTTCCTTTCTCTTCGACCACTTTCGAACGAGAGCGAGAAAGGGGGGAGGTGGGAAGGAAAGGCTGGGCGAAAATTCTCAAGGTACACAGGGTATATCGAGCAGGCAACGACCTTCGACGAAGCTCGCCGTCCGACCTCAGCAAGGATACTCGCAATCTGCGCGGTGCATCGGCCCGTGCCTCGTCAGAGACTCGCTCAGTTTACGTTTCGCACCTACCTAGCAACCAAACGGACCACCGACTTTTACGGTTAAACATCCTCGATCCCCCTATTTTATTCGCAAAATTTCCCTCGAAACGTACGTCGCGACATTTCTTCTATTTATAAGATTCTTTTTATCGGGGATAGGTATATCTGAATCGCATTGTTGCCAAGTTTTTGTCACAACATCGCGGACCCCTTCATGCGTACTTTATTCACAAAATTTTCAAGAAAAGATATGTCTTTACAAGATTTCCATTTACAAGATTTCTCGCCAAAAGAGATACTCTGTTTACAGACAAGATTTTTCGATCATCGTACTCTGAATCGCGTTGTAATTTTTACGGTTTATTCGTAAGAAAAATGCGTACTTTATTCACAAAATTTTCAAGAAAAGATATGTTTCTTCCATTTAAAAGATTTCTCGATTTGTGATCGGTATATATCGGTATATCTGAATCGCATTATCACCAACTTTTACATTGCGAATCTCTTCATGCGTATTTTATTACGCAAAATTTTCAAGAAAAGATATGTCTCTTTTATTTACAAGATTTGTTGCCGAAAGGGATACTCTGTTTACAGATTTTTCGATCATCGTATCCTGAATTGCGTTGTAATTTTTACGGTTTATACGTAAAAATCGTGCGTTTATTTACAAAATTTTCAAGAAAAGATATGTTTCTTCCATTTAAAAAATTTCGATTTATCGGTATATCTGAATCGTATTGTCGTCTTTTACATCGCGGATCCCTTCGCGCGTACTTTATTCACGCAAATGTCTCTTTCATTTACAAGATTTGTCGCCGAAAGGGATACTCTGTTTACAGATTTTTCGATCATCGTACTTTGAATCGCGTTGTAATTTTTACGGTTTATACGTAAAAATCGTGCGTTTATTCACAAAATTTTCAAGAAAAGATATATCTGTTCCATTTACAAGATTTCTCGCCGAAGGGGATACTCTGTTTACAGACAAGATCGTACTCTGAATCACGTTGTAAATTTTACGGTTTATACATAGAAATCGTGCGTACTTTATTTACAAATAGATATGGAAGGATACAATCCATTCCATACTCTATTTATAGATTTGTCGCGTTCGATACATGGCAGTTCTTCGCGTTGTAACTTTCACACGTGAGAATCTCCTGAACTCCTTCGTGCTTCGTGCGTTATTCACAAAATTCCTTTCAAGAAAAAAAGGATACGATATGAAAGGATACAACCCTTTCCATATTTAATTTATAGACAAGATTTCTCGATACACCGCACTTTAAATCGCATTAATCGCATAAATTCTAACTTTTACCGTTCATACGTAAAAATCGTGGACCCCTTTCGTGCGTACTTTATTCACAAATAGATAGATGAAAGGATACAACCCCCTTCCATACTCTATTTATAGACAAGATTTCTCGTGATATTCACCTGAATCGCGTTGTAACTTTTACACGTAAAAATCGTGGACCCCTTTTCGTGCGTACTTTATTCACAAATAGATATAGAAAGATACAACCCCTTCCATTCTCTATTTTTAAACATTATTATTATACAAGCTTTCTCGTGTAAGTACTTTGAATCGCGTTGTAACATTTACACGTAAAAAACGTGGCCCCCTTCCTGCGTTCTTCATTAACAAAATTCCTCTCAAGAAAAGTAATGATACCCCTCTCGCAACCCCTTCCATTTCTCGCTGAAAGAGTGGAACCGTGGACGTCTTTCGCGCGTGCATTATTCTTCAAAATTCGATTTCGAGAAAAGAAGAAATACGTCACAATCTTCTCCCATACTCTATTTCCACACAAGATCTCTGTGTGGTCGATACACCGCGCTCTGAATCGCGTTGTCATACGATCGCCTCGACTCGAAAAGGAGGATCGAAGATAAAAAAAAAAAAAAAAAAAAGAAAAGATCGCCTCCTCTTCCTCTCCCTTTCTTTTTTCTTTTTTTAGAATTGTATCCTTCCCTCCTCCTCCTCCTCCTCCTCCTCCCCCTCCCCTCTCCCTGGGCGAGAGAGAGACCACCCCGGACGAACATGATGGATTTTTGCGATCTCCCTCCTCCCCCCATTCTCCCGACGCGCGCACTTTTATGCGGTTATACATCCTCCACCTCATCCCCTCGAGCTTATTATCCAACTGGGAAATTCCCGATGGCTCGGTTTCCTCGAGTTATGCGGTTCTTTATACCAGCAGGCCCCAACCTGCACCTTTTTACGCTCTCCCCTACCACTCCTCCCTCCTGTACCAGTTTCCTTCTCTACTCCCGGCATAAATAGATTCCTCGAGAGGAAGGCTCGCTCGGTAAGTTTGTTAGCGGTGATCGAGTGGACGTTAGGGAGGGGGGGAGGGGAGGGGCGATTTTTGAAGATCGGCGGCGATCGATGACGGTGGTGGCGGTGTAGCAGTTGTAGCACCGTATTTAACCGCAAATTGTGAGGATCGTTATCGAAGGTCGATAGGTATACACGAGTGTGCGGTTAGGAGGATACTCGATTAATCCTATCCTGGTCGTCGTTACGTAACAACACCTGGGTCGTCGTTATCCATCTTCGAATCGACGAAGAGTTCTCTCTTCGCCGCATGCATAATACACAATGCAAATCTTATTCCCTCTCTTTGAACACAACCGTGTACCATCTCTGTTCTCAAACGAATATTACGAATTCCAAGTATATAAGTAAATCGGAAATAACGATTATAGAAGAAAGAAAAGAAGAAGGGAAAATC